ATGGGTTTTTGGGCGTTAGAGTGGACGTGGCAAACTTTTATTAGGCCAATCGATAGGTATTGACGAAACAAATACATATCAATTAAAATTTTCATAATAGCATCAAAACTGTGGTCACAGCTTGTGGCTTGTGGGCGTCAGAGAGGGCGTGGCACCATTTTGAAAGAAACTTGCGCTGCGTAGGAACTCCTAAAATCTACATGCAAAATGCCAATCTTCTAGCTTTTATAGTTTCCGAGATCTCAGCGTTCATACGGACAGACAGACAGACGGACAGACGGACATGGCTAGATCGACTCGGCTAGTGATTCTAAACAAGAATATATATACTTTATAGGGTCGGAAACGCTTCCTTTTACCTGTTACATACTTTTGCACGAATACAATATACTCTTTTACTCTACGAGTAACGGGTATAAAAAGGAACCCTAGCACAGGGAACACAGAAAACACGTGCACATCAAACATAACAAACGCGCACAATACAAACAAATAAATGACACAAAATAACACAAGCGGCATCGGTCCTCCCGTATACAACATCGATGCCCTTCGGCCAAGGGCGACTGGCTAAAAGAGAGAGTATAAAGTGAGAAGGGTGAAAGTGGAGAAAGAAAGGAAAAAAAAACTTACCATTCAAACTTTCTTGTCATGTCGCTCATGTAAAGGGAGTGGGCGCTTCGATTTATAAGCGGTCGATTGGCACTAGACGATAGTGTCGATCGATGGGCACAGAACACTGGAGATGACGGCACAGGAAGGGTCACACTAAAAAAATATCGCCACCCCCGAATGGCAACGCTGCACTAATTCAAGTTATCGAGATCGGCTGGAAACCCATCGGGAAGGCGGTAGTGTGACCAGACAATGAAAGAAAGGAGATGCTTAGAACGCGAAGTATATGGGCGAAACATCTTGGGCGGGACATTCAAAGGAGATACGAAGGCGAACACGAGACGTCTATGGGGAAACATCTTGGGCGGGAAAAGGAATGGAGCATCGGCGCTGTGGAACTCAAGTACGAGCTGTGAGCGTTTAGGGAACCATTTGGAGGAGCAAGAAGACTCGTAGGCTACAAGGATTTACAAGAAAGACAGCCGGAGAGAAGAAAGTCAAGTCTATGGGGGAAACATCTTGGGCGGGAAAAGGAATGGAGCATCGGCGCTGTGGAACGCAGGTACGAGCTGTGAGCGTCGAGGGAACCATTTTGAAAGGAGCAAGAGGACTCGAAGGCTACAAGAATTTACAAGGAAGACAGCCGGAGAGGAAAATCAAGTCTATGGGGGAAACATCTTGGGGCGGGAAATACATAGAACGAGAAGGAGCGACGTCGAGGGAAGGAGGACCAACATCAGCGATCCAGAACAGCGGATCCAAGAAGAACTCCAAGATAGCAGCCGGTGAAGAGGTGCAAGTCTAATTTTGTTGCCGAGGAAAGGGGAGAATGTGAGAAGTTAAATAACTCTTCACAAATAAATGAGAGTTTGTAGAGTACATCTGGTGAGAGTTTGGAGAATACAGCTGGTGAGAGTTTGGAGAATACAGCTGGTGAGAGTTTGGAGAATACAACTGGTGAGAGTTTGGAGAATACAGCTGGAGAGAGTTTGGAGAGAAACGAGAAGAGAGTTTGGAGAGAACGTGTAACGGTAGAAGGCGGCGGACTTTGGACCGAGTATGGTGCCGTGCGCAAAACCGAAAAAGGAGAAGCCGAGAATTAACGGGATACGCCGGCCTATATAAGCGGGCCGAGCGCAGGAAGCGGGATCAGTCGATCACAAGGAGTCAATCCAGCAAGATCAGTAGACAAGCAGAAAAACAGTGAACAAAACAAGTCAAGTCAACAGCAGGAGGAAGCAGAGCCGCGCCGAGTCAACAAGAGCAAGATCGATACTTCAACACGTTCGGGACTTAGAGTTGAAGTCTCCGAGCTGAGAAACGGGTAGCTGAGGTCCTTAAGGCATCACGCGGCTAAGTCTAGGCGCTTTGTTCTAATTCTGGTCAAGATTTGAGCTTGGCGTATTGCTCGGCGAATCCGACAGAAGTGAATAAAAAGAGTCCTTCGACAAAGAACCGTGGGCTCGGAAGGGAAGTTGTCCAGAACCAGCTGCCGTGCGAAAACAATTGCCTTGTCGAATTCCGGCGTACGCCTGAACCGGCAGGCGAAAATTGTGCAGGCCTTAGTGCGACTAGCCACGAAGGACGCGCGTCCGAACCACGGGTGTCTCGAGAGGCGTATGCGTCGAGAGCACAGTAGTTCACCACCAGAGTCCTAGACAGGCAACTAACCGAATCCCGAGAGCCAAAGACCCGCTGCACCTAGTCTCACAAGAGCACGCGGACAACGGAGCCAGGATCCGCGCCGTGAGCAGAGCAAGGACATCGAAGACCCAAGAAACGACGAGCAGTCATCGCAGGCCCAGCAGCAAGCAAGCCATAATTTTCATCCCATTTTTATTGTTATGCTCGTGCCTTTCATCATGTTTGTACGTTTATAATTATTTATTGCTTTTTGGACGTTAATGCACATTTATCAGAACAAACAAGTGACCCTTGCGACACCAAGCAGTGCTTGTGATGCGCGAAAAAACTGACAGGCCAATACTAAAAGAGTTGGTAGTAACAAAAAATGAAATAAGCTATTATAGTCATTATATACATAAATATTATTATCAGATCTACAATGATCTAAATTAAGAGAAATATAGTTCCAGGTAATTTTAGTATTAGCCAAAAAGGATAAAAATACTTACTGAGTCCATATCTATGACTTATTAATTTATTTTTTAATAAGGTCAGCTTAATAGAAGGTATCTTATAGCAGTGGCACTCCTTGTTTCTTCTTGTTTTATACCTGGGAATTCGAAATTCTTCGAAAGTTTTTAATTCGGACCAATCAAGACTCCAACTCCCCGTCTGGACTGACGATCAAGCCAATAAATTGTGTACCTACCAATGAAATTTTGGGAGCTTTCCTTAACTCCTGATGTCTTCTCTAGTTTATCAAGCTCCGCGATACCCCCTTTTCTACTAATTTAATATTTTAATTTGAATTGAAATTGTTCCGCTCTGTTTACATATTAAGTCTAAGCATCATTATATTATTAATTAAAATAATAATAAAATATAGAAAAGTATTTAAATACGGTCATGGGCAGCCAGATAATACTGAAATTAGTAACACAAGGTTAGCTTCTCTATGCCGTCGACAAAGTGAGGTATTTGAATACCTAAGAAGTGTGCTAAAAGACTACGAGACAGCAAAACGGCAACCAAAAAAAGTGAGAAAACACCAATGTGCTGCTACCAAGAATCAACATCCCAAAGTTTGATCAAGAATTGTTAAAATGGAGAAAATCGTTTGATATATTTTCATGCACGGCAAATAGGACTTAATCAAATAAATGCAAGCATGGCAACCATCATCAACGAATCCCACGATGATACATGAACATGTAGTCCCTTTTTTAAGGCGAGGGATTAAATTGTGGTGAAGTGGTAGTGGTGCTGTCCTGGATTGATGCCACTCCATCTACCACAAATTAAGGCAATAACAAGCCAGATGGAGTGACACAACGTACCATCGGCCAAAAATGCTGCGGATATTCTCTCCAAACCACCCCTCATACCAAGAAATCTGGAAAGAAGTTAACACCAAGACGAAACATACAACTGCAAACACAGCATTTCATTTTACAAGCTGCAACGTATAGTAGCACTGTCCTCAAACCATTAAAGCGTTATCAGACAAAAGAAACAATATCCTCCCATATTGGTAAAAGACTCGGAGTCGGAGGGAGACTAGAAAAATCAGCTTCGGGAAATTAACGAAGTCGCTTAGAGCTATTGGTGGATTATAGTGGATTCTCAACGATAAAACCATGACGAGGAACATTATTCACATCTGCGTACCAGAGCTAGGCCAAGGTTGATACAAAAGATCATAGGAAGATTAATGTTGCCCCTTTTGGATCCTTTACGAAATCTACCTAAATTCTATCATCAATAAGAAACAATAAAGCAAACAGTGCAGCAAACGGAAATATGATTTTAATTTTATCGCATCATCATTTGGAGGCCTATATCAGCATCGCTGATATTTGAGGAGCTTTAAAAAAGTAGAAATTGACCTATCACGCCCATGTCGAACGATCTGGATACCGGGACCGTAAACGCCTGAAAACGCAATTATTCCGATTTTTAGCAAGTTGTGAGTCGTAACAAACTAGTAGTGACGGTACTCTCCCTATGAACTATTTTATAAGCATCTTGGCACCTCACAAATGCCATGATATGGCATCAGCTAGAGCTATGTATATTATTTTGATTTGAAGTACTTAACTTATGGTAAGGCCTATATAATAGCTTCAATTCCGTCATGGGATTCTAAAGGTTGAAGTAACTTCGAGCTTAAGACTTCTATAATAACCGTAAAGTACGCACAAAGAGACCAATTTATGGTTCCCAAGGTGGTCAAATTTGGACTTGGATGAAAGAAACCAAATAAAAACAACATTTGTTTCAATCATCAGGCGTCCACTTTGAAAATGGGCCTGAATATCAATACAGTGTTTGTAAGGGATATTCATTCTGGAAATTCTGAATCCGCACGAAGGCAAACAATGTGTTATCTCATCCGACTCCTATTTCATGCCATTTTAATTCGCTGTAAACGATGGTTTACAGGTGTCAACAGCTTGTATAATTAATGGCGCATCGACCTATATTATTAATTTATTATGTCAGACACAGAAGTAAACAAAGAATATCACATTTGCTGCCCGGGTAGTCATGCGGCCACACCGTCAGTGAATTTAGCTGACACGACGATATTTATTATTACAAATTTTACCCGTTCCGAAAATTTTAAAATAAAGTAAGCAAAGTAAGCTTTTAAAGTTTTAAGTTTCAACACTATTCAGTACTGCTAAATATTCTTATATAAAAGTTGACAAGCCAATAAATTTTTAAAATCACTAACCCCATTTAGTTCAATACGTAGGTATTGTGAAAAATATTTATTTTAATTACTTAGACACATAGGATTTTTTAATTATTATAGTTCGGAAGACATTTGTATTGCAAAAATCTCAAAATGACGACATATATATTATATTTTAAATTAGTTGCTTTCAATCTTGTGTAGGGCTTTTGAGAATGTTTTAATTTTTAAATACAAACATACTATATGAATGCGAGTTTATCTCTATCGTATGTTAGAGAACTTTGACTTTGTTAACAATTTTATAGTTGTTATAATAAAAATAAGTTTATTTTATTGGGGCTGACTTTCATTTTAACATATTGTTAGGCCTTGTGGAATTGTCTACTGCATCATTTGTAGATATCTATTCTCCTCCAACAAGGACGTCAGGGATGTTGTCATATCGTTGATCACCATATTTGTACCATGATACGGGTGTGTAGAACTACTGACATCGGGCCACAGTGTATTGTTTGATTGGATTGTAGACATGTTTCGAATGTGATCGGTTGAAGTATTATTTGTCTCCATCCAGTCTTGGCAACTTTGTACATATTGTAGAGTACGCTGGTATGTATCAGACTGCATTGAGCTAACATTATTCACATGAGTGTCACAGATTAATGTGTTAGGTTGACAAACAAATTTTGAAACGGTTGAGGGTTGTATTCTTAAGGTGGGAATCTGACCATCGTTATTTATATTTATGGAAGGAGACATTTGAGACTGGCTTATAATGCCGCATTGGATCTCATTTTCATGGTCTGTATTAAGCTTGGAAACTTTTTCTGTGTCAATTAGAGAAAAAATTGGAACTGCATTAAGTTCTGGTAAACTTGTCATTGATGAGTCAATGATTTGATTCTGAGTTAACTTTGTTAGTTGGGGCTGATATAGCGATGGCGTTGGTGGCTGTTGTCTTATTTGTTCCGTCTCAGCCACGATACTTGATTGACTCTGACTGTACAAGCCACCAATTTTTGTCATGGTAAATTGTTCTTTCAATGGCTGTACATCGACTGAGACATCAAAGTTAGAGGTCGGTTGTGAAACTTGTTTTTTTAAAGGATTTAAATTGGTCAGTGCACGTACTCGAATGTCGTTTGATGTTATGGTTTCAGAAACAATAGAGCTGATACCAGCATTCTCTTCCCGTTTCTCCGTATGATTTTTATCGTCTCTAACCAAGTTTAGGTACTGGAGCATTTCATCTGGAAGTATAAGCTCTTCAACTTCATCCAGATTTATTCTTTCATTTGGATGTTGCTCGCTAGTCATGGCCTGGTTAGCCTTTACTTCAACATTACCTTTTCCCGTCTTTAAATCATTCTCGTTATTTAAAGAAGATGGAATTTTACTGTTTTTACCCTTTCCAACAGGAGTATGAAAATTTTCCAGTGGGGTATCTATACAAGAAACATTTATTACCGGGCTAAAATTTATGTTTGGCACTGGCTCAGATTGCCGGCGAAATACATTATTCGGGGTTGCTCTATCAAATTCGATCTCTCCAGCAGGTCTGCTGTTGTTTAAATGTGTTTGCAGTGATTGCATACAATTTGGAATTGAAAATCGACCTCCAGTAGAATTCTGATAACAGCTCCCAGAATCTGTCCCCTGCAAACGCTTTAAATTGGTGTCAATCAAATGAGACGACGGTGGCGGAGGAAAACTGCTATTATAAAATCCAAAGCACTGAACATCAAGGTCCGGATTATTAATATAAGCATTTGGGCTTCTGTTTGGATTCGACTCTTTATTTGTTGGAGTCAATGCTGATGTTGAAGTTAGAGCATAGCAGTTGGCTCCATTTGACAATTGGCTAGAGCGACGTGAGCATCCTGGTGAAATAGGATCATAGAAGGAAGCTGTGTTCGTGTTGTACGAAGGGTTTGGTCGCATTGTAGATATAGAAGACACCTGTGATGATTGACTACTTCGGCGACTTTGCATACTACCATAATACGTGCTGGCAGTAGAATTCTGACTGTCACGACGAAACTGTGCTTGCAGCGATCCGGAAAAGCTTTGCTTATTCAATATTGTATTACGACAATTTATTTGGGATTGTGATAAATCTTCTGGAAACTTTTCTAGTCCCGTATACGGCGGCACTACAACTTTTATGTCACCAGAGGTACCTGGCTCCATCTTAAGTTCTGTAATACGCTGGTTAAGTTCACTAATTCCAATGATGCGATTGCTTTCCGGAATGTTGCATAGCATAGCGGTACTTGAGTTAATACCTTTAGTTTGCAGACGACTTCTAAACCGTTGCCTAGCCACAACACCACCTCCAATAGTTGTGGCAGTCGCACTTCCGCTGCCAATATTTACCATAGCACGCAAAACAATCGGTAGGTCGGCCACGTCTACGTCATCGTCACAATTCCATCCGTCATCCAAAGTTAGATTCTCGACAACGTCATCTGGAGAATATGTTAACAAACAGTCTGAAGCTCGGACTCCATTTGCCAACTGATGATGTGGAGAGTTTCCATCTGATTCAGATTTAATGCTAGGACTAGACATGCCTAAAATATTTCCCATCTGCAGGTCTTCGCTGCAAGGGCTTGAGTCAATATTATGCTCCTGAAGATTATGCCGAACCTGGCCACTGTCCCTTTGCAACCGAGAGTTGGCATTATTTAGGGGCAACCCCTTATGTTTTTTATTTGCATAGAACTCGGCTCCGTGGACTGTTTTTACATGTTTTCGTAATGAACTTGGGTCGGTATAACGCTTCGTGCAGCCAGGCGCTTTACAAATGTACGGTTTCTAAAAAAAATCATAAAGTTACAATTCGATTATTGGATCAGGTGTGCGCTTTTACCTCATTACTGTGAGTACGGTTTTGATGCTTTGCCCGATCGCTAGCATTACTAAACGCTTTGCTACATCCTGGATATTCACAGGTGTATGGTTTTTCGCCTGTATGTGACCGTAAATGAGTTTTTAGGTTTTCCAAGCGTGAGTATGCCTTAAAACAGCCTTCAAACTATAAAAAAATTAAAAATAGGAAATTAAGGAAAGTCATATATATTAAATTATAAACTTTATCTTACTGTACACTTGTGTGGCTTTTCACCGGTATGACGACGCATGTGCACAACGAGCATATACTGCGCTTTAAATGGTTTTTCGCCGCGTGTACAATCTTCCCATCGGCAAACAAATGCTTTTTTATTGGTTTGGATGTGGTCATTATTTATATGTTTAACAAGTTCATCTTGCGTAATGAACTCAATACAACAGCTACGCCAGTGACAATTGGTTTCTATAAAATCTCCGGGTTCGTCCTTGATATCCGTCGTATCAGCGTTAGCACATTCATATTCATTTAATGGAGTGGATGCTGATCCACAATTAATAAACTCTTCACAGCGGTGAATTATTTTAGCATCACCAGGAATACTTTTGGCGTTGTTCGATACTTTGTTATAACAGGAATCCGTCAAATGTGATGAGGCACTGTCTGCTTCTACTTGAACCACATTGCCAGAAGTGGAGGAAGGCTGCTCAGTGACAATATTTTTATACTGTCGATTTTTTAAATTTTCATCATCGAAATTCTTTAGCTAAACGAATTAAATAATTTAATTATTAACACCATTAATTCGAAACCATTTAAAATTACCGAAAGTGCAGCCACTTGACCATGTTTATCAGTAAGTAGCCTTGCAGTTGAAGATGTTGTGATTTGGCCAGGTAAATCGTTTATATTAGCATGAACATCATTGAGGCTTAAGGCAGTAGCGCCAGCAGCGTGGCTTATAGAAAACCCGGCGGCAGCTGCTTGTTGTGAAGTCATGGGATTTAAAAGTCCTGCACTCGCTCGCAACAAATGAGCTTGTATTTGCTGTAAACGCGGTCCCAATGTTGAATGTGCATGAGACATGGGATTAATGGCACTAGCTGAAATGTGACCGTAGGAACCACTTGCCACGCTGCTTCCTCGAGAGCCGTTCATAATTGTAGCTAAAGAGTTTGGTGAAAATCTAATCATTGAATTTATGTCAAATGAATCAGAATAAGGCGATGAGGAAAGGGCTCGTTTACGGCTAATGCTTGCACGAATACTTCCACCCTGCGGTCGAGGGCTACTTAACCTTCCATTGCCATCGATGCTAAAGTGAAAATCGGTACTTGCTAGAGATCCTGCTGCTGCTGCTGCTACAGCGGCATGATGCAGGTCACCTAGAGAACCCATACCACGAGTACCCAAAAAATCACCTGATCCCAAACCAAGTCCGGCAAGGTGAAAAGCTGACGCACAGTTCACATAGGGATCTATAATATTAAAAATAAATATTACATTTTCATAAGTTTTTTGTATAATGTTATAATGGCAATACCGTGAAATGATGTGGTTGAACTACTTCTTTGAAGAGAATACAATTGTTCCATATATCCGGGAATTCTATAAGCTGGGTGAAATTCGTGAGCATGAGACTGTCCGTTAACATTTAAACTATGAATATGTTGATGCTGGTGATTGTGATGAAGCCCAGAAGTATTTGAAATAATTGTGTTTCCGTTATTTATAGGTGATTGAATTGAAGTTGCTGTTTTAATTGAATCTGACGCTTCTGAAATCATTGTTGGAACTGGAACCGAGCTTGAAACATTTGTTGTATGTGCGTGGTTAATGCAAGGGGTGCCTGGTAAAGCTGTTGCCGCGGCAGCCACTGCAGCAGCGCGTCTAGACGCTAAGAACTGCAGCTCAGAATATCTACAGAAAAAAAATGTATTTTACACTTATTAATATCACAATAAAAAGTTTTTGGTTATTTAAGTTTGCGGTCGTACTAGGCCCGCAGCTTTTGTTTAGTACAAAAATGAATACAGCAGATCTGTAAAATAAATGTATCCAAATGTTTCCAATTTGGTATTGGGTTGTAGATAACACGCTACAACGACATTTAGTAAGGATAGGATGTGTTTCTTGTTTTGAACCTTTGAACTACACTGGTGGTGTCCCAGAAATTTCAGAAGACATCTCCCTATAAAGTATATATATTCTTGATCAGGATCACCTCCTGAGTTGATATAGCCATGTCCGTCTGTCCGTCTGTCTGTTTCTACGGAAACTAGTGTCTCAGTTTTAAAGCTATCGAGTTGAAACTTTGCACACAGCCTTCTTTCCTTTGCACGCAGTATATATGTCGGAACGGCCGGGATCGGCCGACTATATCCTATAGCTGCCATATAACTGATTGATCGGAAATGCCATAACTTTGGTGTTTGTAAAGTTAGGAAGTTGGAATTTTCTATGGGTTTTATATTTGGCCAATCAATCCGACCTACCAAATTTCATAAGGATCGGCCGACTATATCCTATAGCCGCCATATAACTGATTGATCTGAAATGCCATTACTTTGGTGTTTGTTAAGTTAGGAAGTTGGGACTTTCTATGGGTTTTATTTTTGGCCAATCAATCCGACCTACCAAAGTTCATAGGGATCGGCCGACTATATCTTATAGCTGCCATATAACTGAATGATTGGAATGCTATAACTTTGGTGTTTTTAAAATTAAGAAGTTGGGATTTTTATGAGTACTAAGAATGCATCATATGAATAATTTTGGAGAATATAATTTACAGATTCTGCAAGGGTATATCAACTTCGGCTCCGCCCGAAGTTAGCTTTCCTTTCTTTTTATTTTGTAATATAAAAAAAAATTCAATTTCTTACATGTTGCGTGGTTTGAACCATATTTGACTTACATTTTTTTAAAATAAAAATTATAGTTACTGATATTAATTAATAATAACCATTAATAATACTTATCCTACAAAAAATAATAAAAGTTGATTCTAAAGTCGAGTGCTTCGACACCCGTCACTTAGATAATTTTAGAATAGCTGATGGCGCATTTCGACAATGGTACCCTTATTTCTTAATAGTTGTGAAAATTTTTGGTGTATCGATAGATATTGACCAAATAGAAAATCTGAAATATATTTAGCTTGAACTCCGATTTCATTCGGCGGTATTGAGTTAAGAATTTGAGTAAATACACATTCTTCTGCAACGCAGTGAAAGGCAAGTTCACACGCAAGCTAGTACTTTGCAAAAAGTTTTATTGTCTTACTATTCCAGTTAGTATACAGTGACAAACTTAATTATTGGCACAGCAAGCATGTTAAACTTTAAGTCGATTTTTCTTTTTCTAATATGCTAATATTAAAATAAAAGAAAATATTTTTAGATAGAATCTTTAATTTTTTGTTAAATACAAGTGACATTACTAATTTATCTTTTATAAATAATTTATTAAAAATAAAAAACCAAAATTATTGGCACACTTGGGTTTTAATTAACTATTTTGTTAAAACTTTATCGATTTGGCCATTTTTTTTTAATTACCACATTTGCCTCTATAATTTTAATGGTATAATGATTAATTATACCCTTGCAGAGGGTATTATAATATCTTGTAAGAACTTATGATATTTCGCGCAGTGTAAAAGCTATTGACATTAATCTTTACAAATCGTATTTTTTTATGCATACCTTGATCAGGGTAAAAGCGCGTGACGATCGGATGTCTATATCCTATAGCTCCCATAGGAACAAAAGGGTAAAATCGGTTAATATTTAATGATTTTTAGGATATTTCGCGCAGTATACAAGCTATTGACATGAATCTTTCCAAATTGTATTTTTTTATGCATACATTGATCAAGGTGAAGGCGCGTGCCGATCGGACGTCTATATCCTATAGCCCCCATAGGAACAATAGGGTGAAATCGGTCCAAATTTGATGATTATCAGAATATTTCGCGAAGTGTGTAAGCTACTATCATAAATTTTTCCAATTCTTATTTATTTACGCATATCTTGATTAGGGTAAAAGCGCTTGCCGCTCGGAAGTCTATATCTTAAAGGAGATAGGAAAAATTAATTAATTAATTTTAAGGCTGCGAAAGTATCCCTTTTTTTCTATTTGTATATGACATTTTTGCAGTATAAAAGCAATTAACTTGAAACGATGCAAATCTAGTTTACTTATGTATACCTTATTCCTTTCACTACTTTTTCACTTTTAGCAATTTCGGCAAAGTCTGCAAGGGTATTAAAACTTCGGCTTGCCGAAGTTAGCTTCCGTCCTCGTTTTATAGCTAAAATTGTTTTAGTGCCCTAAAATAAAGGAAAAGTTGATTGACTTTACAAGGTAAAAATAAAATCAACCGCATGTGTCCAAAAAATTAAATGTAATTAGCAGGATCATTTGGGTGAACGTTCGTCAGGCCCTAGCGAAAAGATGTTACTTAGGTCAAATACAGACGGAAAAACAAAACAAAATCCCTGAAAAATCGACGGCAAGAACTTAGGGCAGCTATGATCCCTAAAGTACTAAATAATTATAAGTAATTAAAAAAAAACAACTATTAAATTTAAATAATATTGTTTTCTAATTTCTTTTTATAGAGGCAGACATGTTTTGCCAAAGTAGTTAAGAATATCCTTTGAAGGCTCTTTACCGCAAATAAGATTTTTTAATTTTAACTGCTTGTTAACAAGCCCAGCTGATTGACAGTACGACCGTAGCACGCTCAATACTGATGAACTTTCAAATATGTTTTCACACTGAATATCGTGATCGTTTTTCGATCTGAGTACTGGGCTTAAGCATTGAAACCGAAAATAGAATATTTAATTTTTTAATATCTGCAAGGCTATATAAACATCGGCTCGCCGCAGTTTTCTTTTTTGTTTTTTTATTTAAAATACTTTAATATTCGACCCGCCGAACACACCAGTTTTAAGAAATAATAAGATCTGCGCTTTTTTTTAACAGAAATGTATGCTTTTAAGATTTTTACCAATCTGTTAGTCGGCAAATTTTAAATTAAAACACTCCATTTATCAACAAATGTCTATAAATTACATTTTCAACTTAATATGAGTCCTTCATACGATTTTTTTTAACTGCCTCTTAATGTTACATTCACTTCTTTTGGATCTTCTTTACTACCGAGTTGGAATCAAATCCCTTAGTTTTTCCTATTTAAGATAATTTCATTTATACCAAATATCAGTCTGTTTTTATAACGCTTAAAAGCTCAGTTGAAACTTTTTATTTTAATGTTCTGGCAGATCAGGTTTGAACCCTACCAGATACCATTTAAGCAATCGGTGCTGTTTTAAAAATTACCAAATCCCAAAGAACAAAAAAATTAAAGACAACAAAGTTATACTTAAAAAAAAATTTCCGATTGTTCCTATGGGAGCTTTATGATATAATCGTCCGTTCCGACATATATACTACTTGCAATAGAAAGACAACTTTTGGGAAAGTTTTAAGCAGATAGCTTTAATACTAAGGGACTAGTTTGCATAGAAATGGACGGACGGACATGGCTAGATCGACTCTCTTGGTGATGCTGATGAAGAATAAATATTCTTTATAGGGTCAGAAATGTCTCCTTAACTGTGTTGCAAACTTTTGTCTGAAATTATAATATCTTCTGCAAGGGTATACAAATGTAGATTTGGTAAGTTGAGATTTACCTAAGTAAGTACAAGGCTAACAAGCTATTATTGTGTATACTCATAATAATCGTTTCCTAGTTTTCAAAATGTTCTACCTGAAAGCGGACTAAATTACCCATAACGGTGACAACACTTTATTAGGGGTACATGTTTTTAATCGTGAAATTGTTCTTTGAGATGGATTTATACAAAGAAATCAAAGGACCTGGAATGTGACGGTTGACATTGTAAGTCTTTGCCAAGCTATGGAGGAAGAAGGTCGCAACAAGAGTCTGACAGTTGCTGTCAGACTTAAAAAAACAATAAAGAAAAACTAACTTCGGGCGGAGCCGAAGTTGATATACCCTTTCAGAATATTCTGTAAATTATATTCTCGAAAACTATTCTTTTAATGTATTCTTAATACTCATAAAAATCACAACTTCCTAACTTTAAAAACACCAAAGTTATGGCATTTCCAATCGTTCATTTATAAGGCAGCTGTAAGATATAGTCGGCTGATATTTGGTAGGTCGAATTGATTGGCTAAAAATAAAACCCATAGAAAATCCCAACTTCCTAATTTAAAAAACACCAAAGTTATGGCATTTCCGATCAATCAGTTATATGGCGGCTATAGGATAAAGTCGGCCGATCTTTATGAAATTTGGTAGGTCGGATTGATTGGCCGATTGCGACTTATATACTGCGTGCAAAGGAAAGAAGGGTGTGTGCAAAGTTTCAATTCGATATCTTTAAAACTGAGAGACTAGTTTGGGTAGAAACAGACAGACGGACATGCTTATATCAACTCAGGAGGCGATCCTGATCAAGAATATATATACTTTATAGAGTCGGAGATGACTCCTTCACTGTGTTGCATACTTTTGACCAAAATTATAATACCCTCTGCAAGGTTATAAAAATGTATTTGTAAATGAAAACCGAATTACTCCGAATTGTGTTACAAAGTTAGTGAAAAATTGGTTTCGTTAAGGCTTTATTAAAATTAGAGCACCTTATATATATATGGTGATGTAGGTTACAGCGTTTATAAACGGATTTCTATACAAATGCCAGAAAAATATTTATAATAAATAATATTTATAAAATTAAAACTGTATATCTAAAATTGTTGAAAACCTATATTTAAAGTATATCCGGATATTTGGCCTATTAACTACCTGTAGCAAAGTAGTCTTAAGGAAAGTTTCATTCAGATAGATCTTAAACTGAAAGAGTAGTCTTGACTAGAGACATGGCTAGATCGATTTTCCTGGTGGTTAATTGTTACTTATACTCTATGTGTGAATGAAAATGAAAAAACTTGGGAGAATTTTTGCTAGTCACTAGTACAAAATTTAAAAAATTAAAATACTCATCGATGATTCTTTGAAAATACATTTACCATACAAAAACTAACTTTTTATTATTTTTAGCCAAACTTCCAATGGAACCTTCCCCTTCTTTGGTCATAGTTCATTGTAAACCTGTAAACTGTTAACTTTGAAATCATGTATATAAAATGGGGTTATTTACTTTCTAAGTAAAGCCACAATGAAAAGATTAAACTTTTTCAGAAAATCAGATAGAACAGGAAAGGAAAGCTAACTTCGGGCGCAGCCGAAGTTGAAATACCCTTGCAGAATATTCTGCAAATTATATTCTCCAAAATTATTCATATGATGCATTCTTAATACTCATAAAAAATCCCAACTTCCTAACTTTGAAAACACCAAAGTTATGGCATTTCCAATCGTTCAGTTATATGGCAGCTATAGAATATAGTCGGCCGATCCTTATGAAATTTGATATGTCGGATTGATTGGGCAAAAATAAAACCCATAGAAAGTCCCAACTTCCTAACTTAACAAACACCAAAGTTATGGCATTCCCGATCAATAAGTTATATGGCAGCTATAAGATATAGTCGGAAATCCTTATGAAATTTGGTAGGTCGGATTAATTGGCCAAATATAAAACTTATAGAAAATCCCAACTTTCTAACTTTACAAACACCAAAGTTATGGCATTTCCGATCAATCAGTTATATGGCAGCTATAAGATATAGTCGGCCGATCCTTATGAAATTTGCTAGGTCGGATTTATTGGCCAAATATAAAACCCATAGAAAATCCCAACTTTCTAACTTTACAAACACCAAAGTTATGGCATTTCCGATCAATCAGTTATATAGCAGCTATAGGATATAGTCGGCCGATCCTTATGAAATTTGGTACGTCGTATTGATTGGCCAAATATAAAACCCATAGAAAGTCCCAACATCCTAACTTAACAAACAGCAGAGTTATGGCATTTCCGATTAATCAGTTATATGGCAGCTATAGGATATAGTCGGCCGATCCCGGCCGTTCCGATTTATATACTGCGTGCAAAGGAAAGAAGGGTGTGTGCAAAGTTTGAATTCGATATCTTTAAAACTGAGAGACTAGTTCGCGTAGAAACAGACAGACGGACAGACGGACATGCTTATATCAACTCAGGAGGTGATCCTGATCAAGAATATATATACTTTATAGGGTCGGAGATGTCTCCTTCACTGCGTTGCACACTTTTGACCAAAATTATAATACCCTCTGCAAGAGTATAAAAATCTTTAGAAGCTATTGGCTAAACAGCTAAAGTTACAAACATATTGTTCGACCTAATTTTTATACCCTTGCAGAGGGTATTATAATTTTGGTCAAAAGTCTGCAACGCAGTGAAGGAGACATCTCCAACCCTATAAAGTATATATATTCTTGATCAGGATCACCTCCTGAGTTGATATAAGCATGTCCGTCTGTCCGTCTGTCTGTTTCTACGCAAGCTAGTCTATCACTTTTAAAGATATCGAATTGAAACTTTGCACACACCCTTCTTTCCTTTGCACGCAGTATATAAGTCGGAACGGCCGGGATCGCCGACTATATCCTATAACTGCCATATAACTGATTGATCGGAAATGCCATAACATTAGTGTTTGTAAAGTTAGGAAGCTGGGATTTTCTATGGGTTTTATTTTTGGCCAATCAATTCGACCTACCACATTTCATAAGGATCGGCCGACTATATCTTATAGCTGCCATATAATTGAACGATTGGAAATGCCATAACTTTGGTGTTTTTTTATGTTAGAAAGTGCGGATTTTTATGAGTGCTAAGAATGCATCATATGAATAATTTTGGAGAATATAATTTACAGAATATTCTGCAAGGGTATTTCAACTTCGGCTCCGCCCGAAGTTAGCTTTCCTTTCTTGTTCTTAATATAATTGTTTAAAAATTTATGGGAAATAGTTTTGAAAACAAGGAATGAGGCAAAAACTCTTTTCTGTACTTTATTAAACATTCGACTTAGTAAATACACTTTTGGAAATATTATCTTTCGGCACGCTGCAATAGAAAAGCTTAAACACTTCGCTGAGACGGTCCGAATGAGATTTAAAAAAGTTATTTGTTTGGTAACAACATTTGAAGTCAGAAATTTTTTTATGTTGAAGGTGCGATCATCACGTGTTTTTTACATCGTTAGAAGGTGTTTTTATTTGATACTAAGTAATAAGCCATATAAATCAAAAGATCGTTGTATTGGCAGGCAATATTTATAATCACATTGTTCGTAACTTTCTTAAATATATAAAATATATCATAATTTTTTAAATCTGATCAATACTTTAATTCGCTTATGATTTTTTCTGAATTATAATATTGATTCTGCGAAAAATAAAATAAGACCAAACTTCTTAACAAATTTATAATACTTTCTACAAGTAAAATCATGGACATTGCGGATTTGAAAATATTACCCAAATCGTAAACAAATGGTATACATAGTTCAATTTCGACTAGTGATGGTGCATATGGTATTGGTAAAAAAAAAAACAACTAAATAATGATTATTTTCGTTCTATGAATTTAAGTCTGATACACATTTATTTAGTTTTAAATCTTGTTGCTAACACATTCAACCAAAAATGAATAACTTACGCAAGTGGAAAATATGTCGGTAAAGCGTAGGCGTCCATTTTATTAGAGTTAGTCCCCAAATATTGAAGACCACTTAGTTTTCATGAACTCAACTTAAGTAGCAAATTTAATTGTTTTATTTGGAATTCACCGTCGGCACTTATCGATGTTGTCGGACATTTTTTTGGGTTCGTTTAAAAGCACTGCCACAAATATTATTTGTTAAAAATAAGTTGCCGTTTCGTGTAGAAAATTCGTGCAGTTATGCTAGTAACCCTTGTTGCAATATTGCATTATTTATAAACAAACTTTTTACAGCTCAACTTTCTAAATCACAAAGATTATTATAAGCTCTCACAGTTGATGTCATAAGATTAAAAGTCGCGAAATGTTATATGTATATTTATCGCTTAATTACAAGTAGCGAATAATAAAACAAATTATGAATGACAAACTCAATAACGTGTGTATGCTGCGTCTTATTGCTGTGTTTCTCGCGAGTGGACTGAGTGATATTAACACTAGCTCTTTCAATGCTTCGTTAGTTTAGATGAAGCAGTTCGGATCTCCTCTTCTCTCACAAATACCTTTGTCAGAGCACAGATACTAGTACAGATGCTTACATAGATACATTTTTAAATGCAAACACAGGCATAACAACAATACAGTAACAAGTGCAACGCTGATTCGATTGTCTGTGTGTAGCTACAGATCACGAACAGTCGGCGAAGGCGGGCAGATCGAAGATGGCTTCCCAATACATACACATAAAACCAAGATACTTTTTGGTTATAGTGGTGACGATTCGGCTATTTTACCTCTTACGCACATAAAACGAAACTTATACTTTTATTGTTTGTGTAGATCTAACTGCCAAGTAGGTAGTTGGTTTTTGGCCTTGATGTCACTACTCAATAATTTGTTTATATGCAGAAAACGTTCAAACGTTCAAATTCTACTTGCCTATGCATGTACAAATGTACGTTTATGTATTGTACATTGGATCAACACTTACTCTCACAGTCATTTCAGTCCTTTTCTCTCACTAGATTTTAGCTCTCACTTGTTATATCATTTCTCTCCCTCCTCGGCTGTTGTTTTTGAGAGGGTTTGTGGGCTTTACTTTTTATATATACATATGTATATACATATGTACTCAACTTCTTTTTTATATATGTAGTTCGTTGGATTTCTTAATTATAAACTTGTAGAGTAATACCCTCTATCAAATTCAACAGCTTGCAAGGGCCTTTCTCAATCCCCACCGATGTAAGCAGCTACATAAGTAGTTATGTACTTATGTTTTTAGAATCTCAGTTATATCTAGTTAAGCTAGTTTTCTTTTTGTTGCATGTATTACACAGGAATCGATCGGCATCGAAAAACTATATCCTGTAGCACAATGTTATAGTTTGTAAATATAGTTGCACTATAGCCACCGTTATGTTTTTGTTATGGCTGCTATTTGCTTATTATAATCGGGTTGGCAAAGTTAGCTTCCTTGATTTTTTGATAAAAAAATCTTTGCTTATAATAATCGGCTTGGCAAAGTTAGCTTCCTTGATTTTTTGATTAAAAAATCTTAAATTCAAAGTAGTTACGTCGTTTATGTTAACGTTAATTTAAAGAAATTATTGTTTTACGTTAATTTATTTATAGAACTCATATTTTTGAAGAAAAAAAATTGATAAAATAATTTTTACAATGGTCCATAGTCTTTACAAAGAAAATACAAAAAAGTCCATGTAAATATATATAAGCTCTATATAATGTGTTTATGTATTCTTGGCAAACATACGTGGAACAAATAATTGAAACGACATTTAAATTAGTTAAATATGTACATATAAAAGCTCTAGCCTTACAACCAACTATACTTGTAGCACTGATAGCGGTACTTTATTAAGTAATTCTTTTTAAGTCGGTTTCGGTTTTATTACTTGAAGTGATTGGTCTGGAAAATATTATAGAAACGCGATCGATTTACAACTAAAATTTAGCTTTACTCCAAATATTTTGAAATCAAAGTTTTAGTGTTAATACATCATGGTAAATTTAGCACAAACCATGGCTATATCGACTCTCCTGGTGATGCTGATCAAGAATATAAATACTTTATAGGGTCGGAAATGTCTCCTTCGCTGCGTTGACCGAAATTATAATATCCTCTGCAAGGGTATACTAATAAATTGTAAAAGACGTCGTCCATCTATTAAAATAACATATGTTGGGTCTTTATGTGAGTTATGCTGCGTCAGTAGATTGCTGGGCAGGAGTAGAAAAGGTGGCCAGCTTATGGCCGTCCGTCTGTCCGTCCGTCCGTTTCTACGCAAACTAGTCCCTCAGTTTTAAAGCTATCTGCTTGAAAGTTTCCCAAAAGTTGTCTTTCTATTGCAGGTAGTATATAAGTCGGAACGAGCCGGATCGGGCAACTATATCATATAGCTGCCACATAACTGAACGATCGGAAAAGCCATAACTAAGGTGTTTTTAAAGTTAGGAAGTTCGGATTTTCTATGAGCTTTATTTTTGGCCAATCATTCCGAACTACCGAATTTCAGGATCGGACTACTATATCCTATAGCCGCCATATAACTGATTGATCGGAAGTGCCATAACTTTGGTGTTTGTAAAGTTAAGAAGATTTTCTATGGGTTTTATTTTTTGCCAATTAATTCGACCTACCACATTTCATAAGGATCGGCCGACTATATCTTATAGCTGCCATACAACTGAACGATTGGTAATGCCATAACTTCGGTGTTTTTAAAATTAGGAAGTTGGGACTTTTTATGAGTATTAAGAATGCATCATATGAATAATTTTGAAGAATATAATTTACAGAATAATCTGCAAGGGTATATCAACTTCGGCTCCGTCCGAAGTTAGCTTTCCTTTCTTGTATTTATATACATTGTGTTCCAAGATGGATTGACCTTTAAAGATTTAACACTAACTTAACTTTTTAAGGGATATTTTACGATAGGCATAGTGTATAATAATTTCAGTCAAAAGTTTGCAATGCAGTGAAGTCGCTCTCGCTCTTGTCCGTCAAACTGTCCGCTGCTACTTTTAAAACCATACAAATCATTATTTGCAAACATATAACTTTAAAAATGTGTCAAAACTTGACACTTGATTAAAATGCAACCGTTCTTGTGTTATAGTATGTATATGCAAAAGGACCAAGCGTAAAAAGCCTAGTATTCAGATCGACGAAAACTGAACGCCAGTCATGAGAGAGAGCGAGAGGCAAACAGCTGGCGTTCACTTTTCGTCAACGTTTTTTCTCACCTCGGTCCTCAGATCGACGAAAAAAATACCAGAAAATTGCATAGCGTTGCCAGTCTGCGGAAATGAACTTTGGGTGACCCTAGCGAAAAGAATAAAAAATTTAATCGTTTGGCGTGCACTTCTTACTAAACAATTTAAGAAATGGAGGGAAAACACAAAAAACCCGCAAAAGTCGATTGCAGGAGTTTACATGTGAGGACAAAATAGCATTAATACTATCTGGGGTGCCTCGTCAGAGCAAAATGCTTTTTAAGTCATGAATGTACGAAAAAACACAAAAAAAGTGCAACTATAAACTTTAAATTAGCAAATAATTATCAGAAAATTAAAAAAACAACTGTTAAATTTAAATTATATTGTTTTTTAATTTCTTTGTACTGCGGCAGACTTGTCTTGCCAAGGTATTTGATAATATCTTTTAAAGGCTCTTTCCTGTAAATACGATATTTGAATATTAACTGCTTGTCAACAAACCCAGCTGATCGACCGTATCACGCTCAAATCTGATGAACTCTCGAAATTTTGGTCACACTGAAAAGATTAAAGTTTTTACGCTAGCATACTCGTTTGTCGATCTGAATACTAGGCTAAAGGGAACAATATTTGAGTATTTTCTTAATTTTTGAAATCGTAGGTCGGATTGATTGGTCAAATATAAAACCCATAGAAAATCCCAGCTTCCTAACTTTACAAACACCATAGTTATGGCATTTTCGATCAATCAGTTATATGGCAGTTATAGGATATAGTCGGCCGATTCTTATGAAATAGGTAGGTTGGATTGATTAACCAAATATAAAACCCATAGAAAATCCCAGCTTCCTAACTTTACAAACATCAAAGTTATGGCATTTCCGATCAATCAGTTATATGGCAGCTATAGGATATAGTCGGCCGATCCCGGCCGTTCATATATACTGCGTGCAAAGGGGTGTGTGCAAAGTTTGAATTCGATATCTTTAAAACTGAGAGACTAGTTTGCGTAGAAACAGAGAGAAGGACAGACAGACGGGCAGACGGACATGCTTATATCAACTCAGGAGGTGATCCTGATCAAGAATATATATACCTTATAGGGTCGGAGATGTCTCGTTCACTGCGTCAAAATTACAATACCCTCTGCAGGGGTATAGATATCATTTGAAAAAAATTTTGAAAAAAAATCATGACCCCCAAATGACAAGGCCAAAATCCGAAAAAAAATCAGCTCGATTTTTTGGTTTTTATACCCGTTACTCGTAGAGTAAAAGGGTATATTGTATTCGTGCAAAAGTATGTAACAGCTAGAAGGAAGCGTTTCCGACCCTATAAAGTATATATATTCTTGATCAAGGTCACTAGCCGAGTCGATATAGCCATGTCCGTCTGTCCGTCTGTCTGTCTGTCCGTCTGTCCGTCTGTCTGTCCGTCCGTATGAACGCTGAGATCTCGGAAACTATAAAAGCTAGAAGATTGGCATTTTGCATGCAGATTCTAGGAGTTCCTACGCAGCGCAAGTTTGTTTCAAAAAGGTGCCACGCCCCCTTTAACGCCCACAATCGCTTATATACGATTTTAAAAATTTAAATATTTCGGAAAAGTAAAAATGCAGTTTTATTGTGTTTATCAATACCTATCGAAATGTATTTGGTGTTTGTAAAGTTAAGAAGATTTTCTATGGGTTTTATTTTTTGCCAATTAATTCGACCTACCACATTTCATAAGGATCGGCCGACTATATCTTATAGCTGCCATACAACTGAACGATTGGTAATGCCATAACTTCGGTGTTTTTAAAATTAGGAAGTTGGGACTTTTTATGAGTATTAAGAATGCATCATATGAATAATTTTGAAGAATATAATTTACAGAATAATCTGCAAGGGTATATCAACTTCGGCTCCGTCCGAAGTTAGCTTTCCTTTCTTGTATTTATATACATTGTGTTCCAAGATGGATTGACCTTTAAAGATTTAACACTAACTTAACTTTTAAAGGGATATTTTACGATAGGCATAGGGTATAATAATTTCAGTCAAAAGTTTGCAATGCAGTGAAGTCGCTCTCGCTCTTGTCCGTCAAACTGTCCGCTGCTACTTTTAAAACCATACAAATCATTATTTGCAAACATATAACTTTAAAAATGTGTCAAAACTTGACACTTGATTAAAATGCAACCGTTCTTGTGTTATAGTATGTATATGCAATAGGACCAAGCGTAAAAAGCCTAGTATTCAGATCGACGAAAACTGAAC